AAATTTCCCATGTCCTTTTTGCCTTTGGGCTCTGGTCGCCCATCTCAGGTAACCTATATCCTAGAAAGAGTTTGTCATAGTTTGTATTTGAGTCTTCGCTTATTGTTTGCATGACTCTTTCCTGAGTTTCCGGTTCAAGCTCTTCAAACAGTGCCTGTCCATATGGAATATGCTCGTTTCCAAATATATGTTTTTGTAGCCATTCTGGTTTTCTTTCCATGTTACCAACTATATCTTTTGTGAATGGGAAAGCTTTTACCCAATCTTTCAGTCTTGCGTCGTTTATTTCTGTAGTTGGTTTTATTTTGTCAAGGAACATGTTTTTCAATACTAACATTTCATTTGGTACTGTCCATTTGAGTTTTCTTAAATATTCATCCCTTCTCGATTCATCGCCTGCAAAGTAAGTTTTTATGACATTTTGTAAACTTTCGTTTGCAAGGTCATGTACAATAGGTTCTCTTCCTTCTCTGTCCATAACTTTCTTTCTAAACTCTTCACCAAATATACCATCTCTATGGTTCTGTGTAGTTCTTTGAGATAAATGTTCTAGAACGTCAGGTGTTATATTTCCATCAGCCATGTTCATTTCATACTGGTCCAAAATATCTGCATGTTTCATATCTTTCAATGGCATTAAAGCCGCGCTTAAAATACCAGCTATATCTGGTTCACCATTGACTTCCATTGCGTCTACAACTTCTTGGAATTGTGGTTGTAAGTTTATGAACCACCTATCCGGGTTAGCTTTATGACCCCATCTCATTGTAGTTCCATCGTCTGCAGAAACAAAAGTAGGTTTGTTTCCATCTTGGTTAGGTTCTGAATGAACTTTAAACAATGTTTCATTTCTATATGTTTTCTTGAAATTTAACCTTTTATTTCACCGAGTTCATCCGAAGATTGAACGTTAAATGCTCGTAAGTAAAAAGGGTTGTTGTATTTGTGTACATTTTTTTTCAGTTCTTCCATTCTATGCTGAATATTTTCATCTGGTGTTGGAGTCTTTTGTATGTCGGCAAACATTTTTCGATATTCTTCTACTATGTCAGCCGAATTTTTTTTTAGACTCTTGGAAATATTCCATATTCTCCGCATACTCTTGTTGAGGGTCAAGATTTTTCGGCTGTTCCAAATCTTCATCTAGTTCTGTGAAGTTAGTTTCCAAAGGAGTGACTTGTTCGTTTCCTTCAGGCTCTTCTAGCTGTTGTTGCTGAACTATTTCTTCCATGTCTGGTTGTATCTGAACTATTTCTTCCTGTGGAGTTTCTTGTACCTCATCTGCTGGCATTTCATATATTCCGAGACCGTTTTCAACAATTTCCCTATCTACGTCATCCGCATTCATAAGCTTTTGTTCTTTCGTTCCGTCTCTATTTTTTACGCGTTTCATGACGAAAGTTGAATTGTCATTTAGCTCTGACATCAAATATCTCGGAGTAAATTCATCCATGTCATTTGGATGATATGCTATTAAATCATATCCCTTAGCGAGCTTGTATTTTCCAGGTTTGAGATTATATCCGTTTTGGTGCTGAGCCATAAAGCTAAATAGGTTCGGGTCAGTATTTCCATCCTTGAACTTTCCAATAGCTTCTTTATATCTGTCACTAAAGTCAAACAGTATCTGGGAAACCACACTCTTCTTTAAGCATTTTTAAGAATTCTTGGTTTCCTTGTTCTCTACTTCTTTTATGTCCTTGCTCTGTTTGTGGTTGTTGTTGTGCAGGGTTTTGAACTGTTGGTTGCTGTGCTGGTTGTTGTGGTTGTTGTGTTGGTGTTGTGTGGTTGTTGTGTTGGTTGTTGTGTTGGTTTTGGTGCATGCCTGTGTCTGTGTCCATGTGACGATGTAAATGTTTTAGGTAGTCCTGGTGCAGGTGCTTCTCTTGGAGGGTTTGGTGGTATATAAGTTCCACCAGCTGGCACATATGTTCCATCTGCAGCGTAATGTCCTACCTGACTTTTCGTTCTTAAGAAAGCATTTACTAGGTCTGTTTTGGTCTGTTGTAACTCTTTTTCTTGACTTTTCACAACAGTTGCTCTAACGGCGTCATAGGCACTTTGAACTGCCTGTCTCGTTGCTGCATCTGTTATTTTCGTCATATTTTTGTGCTACTTCTCTTAACTCTTTGTCGAAACCTTCAGACTTCAGTTTCTTTCCAGATGAGAAGTCGTTCACTTGTTTCACCTTACTATGAAGAGCTTCGAAGGCGTTCTTAAAGTCAGCATTGTTAAAGCTTCATTTGAACTGTCTTCATCCGCTTGTATTTTTGTCCTTATTGACCCTATAAGTTGGGCTGCTTTAGCGTTGGCTTGGGCATCTAACCAGTCATTGTTAGCTTTTATATATTCTGCGCTTTTCATTGCCTTTTGCATGGCTGCGTCGTTATTTTTACTTTCTTGTGCTAAGTTTTCATACTGTACGGTTTGGTTTTGCAACTGTAAAAGTTTTTCTGCCTTTACATTTGCTTCAACTTCTTTTTTATACTCATCGCTATCCATATATGTCTTCAGGGCTTTTTTGTTTTATCTCTTCATCTTTCAGTACTTTATATTGAGTAGTATGGTTTTTTCAAATTTAGACATCTTGTTCCATTTTTGCTACTTCTGCTGCTTTTTCTGACACTTTTTTCGCATATTCCTCTGTACTTAGTTCTTTCAGTTGTTCTTCTTTCTTTTTTTCTCTACGTTTAACTCATTGAGTTTCTTTGTGTGTCTGTCATATTCTAGTTTCTTTTCGTTTTCACTTATTTGCTTCTGTATGTCTATGTTTGACTTTTTGACATCTGTTATTGATTTTTGAGTGAACTCAAATTCATTTGACTTTGAGGGTTATAGCTGTTCCGTCTGCAGCTCCACCATAGCCTGCCATTTTCGCTAAAAGTGCCGCTCTTAAACCTCCACTCTGTGCACCAATAACTCGGTTTTAAAAGCATAGGGTTGCTTGACATTTGTTTGCAACATAGTGGGGTCATTCATAATTTGTTGTTGCAACTGTTGTTGTGGTGTTCAGTTTTACTATTGGATGTTTCAATGCTCTCTTCCTCTTACGTATATTCTTACGTAGCTTACGTGGCATTTTAAGTGAAGTTAAAAACATTTACGATGAAGAAGTTTCGACAAAACATTTACGATGAAATCATGACAAAACATTTACGAAGAAATCATGAGTTTTCTACCCTCTTGAATTTTCATGAAATTTACACCAAAAATATATTTTATGTTAGAATGTTAGATCTAACATGTTTTTCTAACATGTTTTCTAACATCGTAGAAAACTCTTGAAATCATGAAATTTACACCAAAAAATAATGTTTTGTTAGAATGTTAGATCTAACCCTTCTACCCTAAATTATATTTTTGGGTCCTTTACGCTCATTACGAAGAAGTCTTGACAAAACATATACGATGAAGAAGTTTCGACAAAACATATACGAAGAAATCATGAGTTTTCTACGATGTTAGAAAACATGTTAGAAAACGTGTTAGATCTAACATTCTAACATAAACATTAATTTTTGGGTCATTTACGCTCATTACGAAGAAGTCTTGACAAAACATTTACGATGAAGTCTTGAAAAACATTTACGATGAATTCATGACAAAACATTTACGATGAAGAAGTTTTCGACAAAACATTTACGAAGAAATCATGAGTTTTCTACGATGTTAGAAAACATTTAGAAACATGTTTAGATCTAACATTCTAACATAACATTATTTTTGGGTCATTTACGCTCATTACGAAGAAGTCTTGACAAAACATTTACGAAGAAGTCTCTTGACAAAACATTCGAAAGAAGTCTTGACAAAACATTTACGATGAAATCATGACAAAACATTTACGATGAAATCATGACAAAACATTTACGATGAAATCATGACAAAAAAGTCAACGGCTGGTCGGCTGGGGTTCGGTCCTCCTCTTGGGTCTTGGGAAAAATTTCTTATGGGCTGGAAGCCCTCCGAATAAAAACTTCATTTATACTAAACATCTTCAGGGCTAGAAGGCACGAAGTGCCTGGAAGCCCCACTACCTTTTTTTTTTTTTTTTTTTTTTTTTATTTAATTATAATTAGGAAAAAGTTAGTTTTGAGAGTACTTTTCATAGGCATATAGAATGAAATCTTCTGAAAAATAATATCACATAAACTCATATTATTTTCTAATATATAACTATTTTATATAAAAATCAAATTCAATGATCTTAAAAGCGAAGGATAAACCTCAAAATTTACGAATATAATGAGTGGGAATAGGCGTAAAGCAAAAATTGATATTTCATATGGTTTTATGATAGCTAAGCATTATATTCCCACTCATTATATTCGTAAATTTTGAGGTTTATCCTTCGCTTTTAAGATCATTGAATTTGATTTTTATATAAAATAGTTATATATTAGAAATAATATGAGTTTATGTGATATTATTTTTCAGAAGATTTTGTGTTCTTCTTCAAAATTTTATTTTTTTATTAAAAAGAATCTTTACAAAATATACATTTACTTTAATTAATATTTAAAAACGTGCTCTATCAAAAGTTCCAAAAATTCAATATTTTAGCTTTTCTGAGGTGTCACTTTTGATGAATTTCTGTTTACAACAGACCTATTAAGAAAAGCAGTAATGAAAAAAAAATCTGAAATTCATAAAAATTACAAGTTTCTGATGACAATTAGCTTAATTAACCCAGGTACAAGATTATATAATTGTATTTTCTATCCAATTATCCATATAATATCTTATCCAGAAAAAAAAACTTGATCAATACCAAATGATTTTTTAACTAGTAAATAAAGTATTTTCTTTACACACACATTGTATATCATAGTTTTTTTTTTTTGGTTTCGCAAAACATCCAAAAACAAATATGCTATAAAAGTGACAATTTTAGCAAAACGAAACCCTTATTTACATGTTCTGATTTCTGAGGTGATAGTTACATTTTGACAAAATAGCAGATTCAATATTTCAGATTTTTTTACTCTCAAAATATTTCGATGGAAGATATAAGCCCAAATAGAATTAAGGTTTCTATCATTGGCGATTCTGGTGTCGGAAAAACGTCTTTAGCACAGAAAGAAATATATGGTACGTTTGATTATGCAGTAACTCCAACAATTGGAACTTCTCATCTAATTGCTCACGAAAAAGTTGATAACGTTGACGTTGAAATGTGCTTATGGGATACAGCTGGCCAGGAGAAATACAAATCTCTGGTTCCACTTTATACTCGCGATTCTGACGTTATTATTATCGTAGCTTCCATAGCTGACCACCTTTCTGTTCAAAATGTATCTAAATGGGTTGAAATGATCTTAGAAAGCAACGGAGATCCTCAATTTCTCGTTGCTATTAACAAAATGGATATGCCGATTGACAACTCTGATGCAATATTAGATCCATTACAAAACGAATACGACGATTTATTCTTAGTTTCAGCGAAAACAGGTGATGGAGTTCGAGAATTATTTTTCAAAGCTGCCAAAATGGGTTATACTCGCCAGACTTCCCCACCAAAAGAGAAAGATAACCAGCATCAAGTTATTACAAAGAACAAACAAAAGTCTAAGTCAAAAGATTCGGATTGTTGTTAATTTTGTTATTAATAAAATACATTTTACGATATTATTGTTTCTGTCTATAATTTCAATACAAATCATTCAACAGTAGAGATTAATTATGAAATTTCAGATCTCAAATTTTTAATTAATAAAAGGATTTGTTACATACATTAATAGATATCTTTAAAAGATAAAAACAACTAATATATCAATACAAAATAAAAATAATAAACAAATTTATATAAATTAAATGGGACTAATCGGCTGATAGTCATCCTTTAGCGATGATGGCGTCATTCCATCATCATTTGTGTTTTCTTTATGCTCAGGAGTGCTTTGATTTGGATCTTCCTCTAAATTTTCAGTCATTTCTTTAATATCGTTGGGAGGCGAACTGTCATCATTCAAATGTGTTACATCAACATAAGAAAATCCTGGGAATTGCTCTGCAGATCCAAAAACAGGAAGAACAAACGAATCTTGTGGAGTTTCTTGAGTAAATTCTTTGTCAAAGTTTATAGGTTGCGTTGATTTCTCAACCCTTGGTATGAATGTTGGTTTAATCTTCTTTGCAAGGAGATCATCAAAATTTATTCCTTCAAAAAACGGCATTTGAATAATCTGATCGTAGTTTGGTCGTAATTTTGCATCCTTTGTAAGAAGAGCTGAAATAAATCGAAGAATTTGCGGATTTGTATTTATTGGAAATGTTGGCTCTTTTTCTAGAATATTTTGAAATAATCTTGCGCGGTTTGAGTGAGCAAAAGGAGTTACGCCAAAAAGCAACTCGTATGTTAATATTCCGACTGCCCACCAGTCAACAGCAACAGTGTAAGGTTGACGATGGACAATTTCAGGCGCTAAGTACTCGCTCGTGCCACAGAACGTATTTGTTTGCGTTGCGTAAGACATATCCTTGGATAAACCGAAATCTGTCAATTTTATGTAACCATCTTTGTCAAGTAGTATATTTTCGGGCTTTAAATCACGATAAACGATTCCAATACTATGCAGATGATGTAAAGCCATGCAAATCTCTGCGATATAGAGTTTAATGTCATATAAAGGTAAACTACCGTTTTTTTGCATATGGAAGAATAATTCTCCACCAGGAGCGTATTCTAATCCGAGGTAGAACTTCGATGCCGTCTGAAAAGCAAACCTTAACGAAACTATGAATGGATGTTGAACTTTTGTAAGGATATTTCGCTCTGCAATGACTGTGTGAACTTTGTTTGACTGAATTAAACGAGATTTATGAATCGATTTTATTGCAACAATTTCATGTGTTGTTTTATTTTCGCATAACATGACTTTTCCATAAAAACCACGACCAATAACAGCGATAATCTTAAACTGTTCCATTGACATATCAGGATTTTCAAACGTACAGCCACGTAACGCTAAAACCCATCGCATTAATGAATCAACCGATTCGGCTTCAAACATATTATAGTCGCCATCAGGTTGTGTGAGTCTGAATCGAGGTTTTGAATCTTCTTCAATGATTTCTATTCTTGTATTCGGAGTTATTAAATAGTCATATTCATTGTTTTTGTAATTTTCGTCTTTAAACACTAAAAAATGTGTTCCACTCAACGAGCACCACCTTTTTGACATAATACCGAATATCCTTTTCCTATATAATATGCCATTTAAAGGGTGCGAAGTTTTCATTTTGCCACTTTTTTATGGATGATTCAATTTGGGATAATGTGATATGAAATCAATTAGTGATCATTTTTACATAAGATTTGATCAGTTCAATCAACTCAAGATGTGGAAAATGCATACATACACTTCTACACACACACCTATGAGTCCTTTTATCTCGTTCCGAAAGCTATTTAATTTCATTTTTTCTGTTGATCATTTGATTTGAATTTATTTTAAGATTTTGACTGTTGTTAACGAAATACTAAAGTTCTATCAATATGTTTATAGTTTTCTATATTGATTGGAATAATTTCAATAAGGCATTCCGATATTGATTCTCTATCTTTTATATGAATAAATATTTCAGAGAAATAAGATTGAATAACCAAAACAACTCACGAAGATATTGTGAATTTACCTTTGTTGGCATTAGTAATACCTATACTTTTGAACTATATTAATCTTATCAATATTTTCTTAGCAAGCATTTCTTAATTTATCACCTAATATGGATAATAGGTCATCTCAATGTATAAAAGTCATTATCATGTTAAAATATAATTTCAAATATTTGTGAAATAAAGAGATATCTCATACTTATAATAAAATCAACAAATATAGGAAAAATACAATTTAATGACATTATAATTATCCAGTTGATAGCATAGTTTCAATATTTTGGTTTATATCATGATATACCATGATGCAACATGGATGATATTCTTATAATTAAGCTAAAAAACTCAAATATATGTAAAATAGCCAACGGAAGCGTTTATTTTTGAAGGAAATGTAAGATATAAACAAATTCGAATTGTCACTTTTCACTTAACGGCTCTAACTGAATAGAAAAAATTCATGAGTTCTACTGATTATTCCGTTCCTTATATACTATGGTGGAACGACAAAGCTTATGAAATAGATTCAACCGTATTTGCAAGATTTTCAAAGAAATTCAAGCGCGATCTCCAAAATCCAGATAATCAAAATCAGATGGATATCATTGTGAACAATTCCAGAGGCGAACGTGTCGAGGAAGAGACATTTCTCGCTTTTGTCAAAGCCTGCCAGTTGCAGCCATTCGATGTAACCAAGAAAAATGTTTACGAACTTGCTTTTCTTGCATCTCAAAACCAATGGGATGTTGCATCTCTTCGCACATATATTGATGAATATATTGCTAAGAACAAGATTGATCCACCTGAAGTAAAAGATTATCTTCAAATTTTGTTAGACCATCTCGAATCAAACGCTGATACACCAGAAGATTGGAAGAATGTTGCTGATAATATCAACTCCGCTCTTGCTGATGAAAGATTCGAACAAGTTCCTCCAGATGTAATCTACGAAATTCTCGATATTGCTGACAGAAAGAGCTTATCATCTGATGGACTTGTTGCTTTTGTTCGTAAGATGCTTACAATTAATCCACAAACAGCTGTTCCTCTTCTTCTTCGCTGCGATTTTGATAAATTTGAACTCCAAGAACGTGCTGCTATCTTCCAAAACCCATCGGTCCATACAATGAATATCAACTTTTTCACAGCTTCAGCCATCAGCGCTTTACAAAATAAGAATTCTATAACAATTGCCAAGCGTAAGCGCCAGCAGATGCTTGAATTCAAGTGCCTTGAAATCGCCCTTAACAAGATGGTCGAAGAGCATACAAAAGAGATCAAAGAACAATACAATGACGAAATCAACGAAATCAAGGATGAAATCTACCGCCAGCAGGCAATCATAGATAAGCTTACAGAGCGTATTAACACTCATAAGCAACGAATTCTTACAGCAGAACGCAAACAGGCAAGCCGCCGTACACCTCTCGATTCGAAGGCTCTCCAAGACCTCCAGAACTCTGTTAGAAGAGAGCTCCAGGATATGGAGAACTCACTCGATAGATCATTGTTTGACCACGAGAAGGGAATGGAGAAATTCGTAACAGATGCAGAGACAATGGCCGAGAAATTCTTCACACAGGCAGCAGCAGAGTCATACAATGAGGTCAGCAAAGTCACATCCAAGCTTTCCCAGCTCGCAACTGATTCCAAAGAAATTGAACAAAATTCTCTTGCAGTTAAGGATTTGCTTGGCAAAGTTAAATCATCACTTTGCGCAAAGGTAGTCAGAGATAAGCTCAGATTCGACAAATTCCTTAGAAAGACAACAAATAAATTCAGAATCTTCGAGAAAGAGCCAAGAATATTCAATCTTACTTCTCAAGATGTTAAGGCTTCAGAGGAGGCCCTTGTACAGATGGACCACCACATAGAAGCTTATTGCCCACTCAGACAGCAATTGCCAGAACCACAGCCTGTTCGTAAGCACCATAAGAAGCAGTAATTTTTTTATTTATAAAAAACGAATTCTTTGATATATGATATTTTTTAAAAATGACTCATATCGAAATTATAATTTTTTAGATTTAAATAATTTTAAATCTTAGATTGGACACAAACTCATATTATACAAATCAGACTCCCATTAAATAATAGAAATGGAATGATTTCATTAATTGCTTGATTCAAAAATTATTTTATATATATCATACTGAATACTATTTCTGATCGTCAGTCATTTTATATTTTATAACATGATTAATTACATGCATTGACAAAGAAGAAAGTTGCAATATATTATATAATTTAAGATTTTTTATTTTCTCCTCTGGTTATTCACCATAACAGAACTATCAGGAAAAACATTCATAGTAATATTTCATTGCAACAGATAGTATTATGTTTTTGCCATCAAGAGTCGATAATTATTTGAAATATTGAAAATAACTTATGAACGCAACTGCAATCTTAAAATGCAACTAGTGCTATATATTTCTGCTCTATTTATTTGATTGTTCAATTTATTTTTTATTTTCTGAAGCTTTTTTGTATAAATTTTTTTGAAAAAGCATCAGTTTGTAAATTGTTTTGGAAGAAGCTAGATAGGAAAAGGAACATTTTTGAAATAAATTCAAAAGAATATGTCTGAATTTCATTTTTGAAAATAATCTGATTAAAATTGATTAACATCATTGAAATAGCAGAATTCTACAAAATATTATTTTTTATATTTTTGTCAGCAAAATTTCTGTGTATTTAAGAAAATTACTGACATATGAACCCACAATCAAAAATAAATAGCAAAAACCAAATAGAAATTGAGATAGGTTCACAAATAACGAAAATCCCAGAAATTCGAATAAAAATTGAATAAACACAATTTTCTATATAAGTCTAAGATTGTATACTTTATCTTTCAGTTCCAATTTAAGATATCCACTATAATTCATCAAATTTCTTAATTTTTTTATGAAAAACGTTGCACTTGTCATAAAAACAAAAATGTTCTTGTTATTCCTACCAACCATAACATGCGAGTATTATCAATGTGAGCAAATTAGTTCAAATCTCAAGTTTCATGAAAAAATAACTATTAAGTGCAATAATTTGGATGAAGGTGTTAATCTTATTTATTTAAAGTATGGTACAAAAGGAAATTCAAAAAGTTATCATGGCATAGCTTCAAACAATGAACTGTCTTTTATTGTTACGGACGAACTCCCATTCAACAAACTTTATATCAGTTTTGAGGATGAAGATCATTTTATACAAGATGTTCATTTTGATGGAAAACCAACAATAAATTACTTTGAACTCATGGCAGATGTATATTCTGGTCGATGGAACTATCTCAAAATTTCAACATTTTTTGATACCGCTTATTTCGGAAAAGGGGAAACCAAATTTGAAGCTGCATTCCTTAAAAGTCAAGATAATATAAATGATAATGATTTTCATGAGATTCTCCTTTTAAGTGCCACAGATTACACAAAACACATTTTTATTCCTTATACAATTGATGCTGGGGAATATTATCTCAGGCTTCGTTTTCGTTATGTTGATGGTAATAAAAATTTGGTTTCAAATGTTGTTACAAAAAAAATTAGACTTCAACAACCAGATATAAAGGATCAATTAATTGTTTATAGGTATACAAACGATTTGATTTTTAATGCAGATAGCAGTTTTGAAGTATTATTTGGGATGTATCCATCTATAATCAATGTCAAATTACTATACAAATTGGGCGAATTTTCAACAAATTTGGATGACTATAATGAACTTTTTGAATCTAATGGTGTATTGTCACTTTCCAATAACTATAATCATAGAGGATTTCTTATTCCATCAGATTTAAAGGAATTTTATGATAAAATAACATTTATAATGGTAGATTCTACAACAGCAACAATTCTAAATTCAACAATGATAAATAATATTAAGATATTGCCTGAATTTAAACATGAAGAGATACAACTTGATCTACCAAAAGATAACGAAGGGAACTATTATCTTGAAGAGGACGGACATATTTCAGGAACCATCACATTCAAAAATGAAATTGACATAGATTATATGCGTTTACGTACTTATGAAATTTATGGTACTCTAACTGCTGTTCCAGGAAACAACAAAAAATACCATTTTGATATTGCAACAATGCGTTATCATTAATTATTTATTAACATTTTCGCAATATCGAAATTTTATTGATGTTAGGTTTGATTTTAAACGCATGGATTTGAATGTGTGGATCAATAAATATTTACCGCTAACTGGAAAAATTAATGGCTATATTGTTACAAGTAGTAATATGGATCATCCTAGAAAAAAAAAAAAAAAAAGGTAGTGGGGCCTCCAGGCACTTCGTGCCCTCTAGCCCTGAAGATGTTTAGTATAAATGAAGTTTATATTCGGAAAATTGTTAGTCTTCTGGTGTGAATTCGGAGGACTCTTCTTCTTCCTCCATTGCTTCTGGGAAGAAGCCTTCTTCTGGGTCGAAAACATTATATAATGTGTCGCTTTTCACAAATTATATATGTTTTCATGCTTTGTCACTTTTCTGTCACTTTTCAGGAAAAAAACATTTTTATTATTATATATAAATGAATTTTACAAAACCACCGTTACCGTTCTTTGGAAATAAGAGTAAATGTAAAGATATTATATTGAGAGAACTTAAGAAACTACCGAATGGTCTCACATTTGTAGATTTGTTCGGTGGAAGTTTCTATATATCCCATTTGTGCCATACAATATTCCCAGACTCAAAGATTATATGCAATGACTTCGACAACTATATGGACCGTCTCAAACATATTCCAGACACTAACAAAATATTGAAAGAGTTAAAAGAAAAGATTCAGATAGGTAAGATGGAACGTATACCATTAGATAAGAAAAATATTGTGAGAGAGGTTTTGAAAAAAGCAGAATATATAGACTGGGATAGTATATCTGCTAGACTATTATATAGTGGTTCTATAAGAGTTCATGACATTGAAACACTTATGTCAAAAGTTTTATATCTTAACTATACAAATGTTTTCAAAGAGGACATAGAAAAATATATTGAGGGTATAGAGTTTGTGAGATGTCGTTGGACAGAGTTGTATGAAAAATATAAAGACAAGGAAAATGTTTTCTTTATAGTGGACCCGCCGTTCTTTAACACATGGGATTTTCAATACCAAGTAGACTGGACTTTGAGAGACTCTTTAGAAACTTTAGACGTTATACATAACCATCCATGCTTTTACTTTACATCCGATAAAAGTGGTTTGGAAACCGTTATGAGATGGTTAGAGGACATACATGACTATGAGTTTAGATATGACAAGATAGAATATGAGAGAGGTCCTATAAACCGGAGAAAGTGTCACAATAACGAAATTTTATTAGTAAGTAAATGTGGTTTGAAATAGGACTACTTGTCTTAGGTTTTTTCCATTGTGTCATTTATTTATTTGACGTGGCAGAAAAGTACAGAGAATATGAAGATGAACCAATGCCTGCAAATGTTCAGTATATGTACTCGTAAGAGATATTTTTATCTAATATTAAATGGACGCACAGAACTTAGCGAATGCACAGCAACCTGGACAACCAAACCCAGAGAATATTCCAAATGAAGTTAGAATACAAACTGCAATGGCAAACTATGGTCAAGTGCCAACAGATGTACAAATGCAAACTGCCATGTCAAATGACGCTGCGTTAGGTTTGCCACCATGGTATGCAAATATGAGATGGAAAGAGTTTTATACAAACCCTGAAGTGGGATATAAACAACTTTATGCAGATGACGCGAACACAGGAGTTGACCCAGAATATGTTTTCTACCAGAGGAGAAACAGAATGTATGAGCTCCAGTTAAAGAATGCTATGGAACTCAACAGGAAACGTAAGAGACTAGGCGGACATTAGATTTTTACATATAGTAAAATGGGTTTCTTCAGTAGTATTGGAAACTTCTTCAGAAGAGTTGGAAGAGGTATATGGAATGGAATAAAAACCGTAGGAAGAGGAATTTGGAACGGAGTCAAAAATATTGGTAAAAGAGTAGGTCAGTTTGTTGGTATTATACCTAAAGACCCTGAACCAGAAGAACAAGCTCCTGTTATACAACAGCCTGAAACTGCACCACAGTCTAGTTGGCAACCAAATCCAACACCTCAACCGTATTAAAAAATTATATTTTTACCGTTCGATAGTAGTTGTATATGAAACTAAGTTCTAAGTAAAACGCATGGTATAATGGAATTATTCTTTTTCTTCCATCTGTAGTAAACCATACTTGAAAGTCTGAAATACTTCCACTTGGTGGTTCGTATAACTTTGTAGGTTTTTCGTAAAAGTCATTTGCCAAGCATAAGAAAGAGTTTTGGGCGCCAGAAAATGAAGCATGAACAATAATAGCATCTTGGTCGAAAACATTTTCATATGTTCCATTAGGGTTTTCGACTTCATAAAAGTCTGGGTGTACTGGATATGCTGCAGGCTGATTTAACATCCTCATAAATCTATACCATGCCAAGTTGTTATATTTTGTAGAAATATAAACGTTTTCTCCAAGGTCTTCTATTTTATTGATTTTAACAGTTGCATTTTTCCTGTCATAAATAATATCGAGATGGTACTCTCCCTCGTCAATGTTATACTGGTTTGCATATTCGATATAGATATCGTTTATTTTTTCTTGAAAAGCTTGAAGAGTTGTTTCTAAGTTTACAAGCAAACTAACTTGTAAAAGTTTTCCCTGTTCAAATTTCTCATACATACGTTTTTCTTTGTTATAGTATCGAACTTCAAAACCGACCGTAAATGGGAAACCATGTATGGCTTCTGAAATGAACTTCATTCTACGAAAGCCAATAGCTTTTGTGACGGATGGGTCTCTTAACCATCTTAATGGGTAGTCAAAACGATAGCCTTCATGCTTTACGGTCTCTGTCTCAAACTTTTGACCGACATTAGTAAAAAGTTCATCTAATGGTTTAGTTGTAGCAACTCTTGAATTTTCTTTTTCTATTGAAAGCATATTTTATCTAGAATAAAAATGTCGAAAGATATTGCTTCCATAAGAGAAATACAACACAACCGACAACTCATTATGCAAGCTCTAAATAAGAACACAACAAACTTTTCAAACTATTCTAAGATATCTGAGTCATTGAAAGAAGGAAACTTAAAAACTGACAATAAACCCAATGACAGATGAGTTTCTGTTTCAAGACAATAAGAAACCATACTGTCTGTATAAATCCAACAAAAGGAACTTTAAACGAGAAACCTATAAATGAACTTCTTTTGAAAGCAGATGTTGACAACAAAGCTGACAAAGAATATGTAGACGATGCAATAGCAAAAGAAGAAGAAAGAGCTAACAATGCTTATGCAACAAAAGAACATACTCATCCTGAACTAGCAGACAAAACATATGTTGACAATAAAATGTCAAGTGAAGTGACAAGAGCTGAAAACGAATATTCTAAAAAGACTCATACACATTCTATATCTGAAATAACAGACTTAAACGTTAGCCTTGAAAAGAAAGCGGATAAGGATTGTGTGGCTAGTGCGTTAGAGAAGAAAGCAGATAAGGAATATGTGGATGAAAAAGATAAAGAAATTATAGAAAGGGTTGACTGGTATCATGGACGGACATCGAAGATTTTAAAAACTAAAGCCGATACAGGATGGGTTTCAGGATGTTTAGACCTTAAAGCAGATAAAACTTATGTTAACGATGAGTTAGAGAAGAAAGCAAATAAGACTCATACACATACAAGTTTTACAACTGTTGCTATAGAAAGTATTGAAGGAACGGTTGAAGAAACTGGTGGGGATGCATTATATTGTAAACCTCCTAACTTTCCACAAGGTTTAACATCGGATGACGACATAACGACGATGAGAAACATTAGATGTAAAGATGTTTATGTCATGAAGGATGAACATAATATTAAATTCACTGCTCAAGATTTATATGACAAGAAAGCAGACAAAACAGAGCTTCAAACATTAAAGACAGAAATACTTCAAACATTATATCCTATAGGCTCTATTTATACGTCAATGAACTCTACCAGACCAGAAACAGTTCTGGGTTTTGGAACTTGGACTCAAATAGTCGACAGGTTTTTGTATTGTGCAAACTCTTCAAAGGAAACAGGTGGAAGTAAAACGATTTCAGGTGAAAATTTACCTGCACATAGTCACTACATAGATTTAAGTACATCTCAAGCAGGTTGGCATAAGCATAGATATTGGGATTGGTCAGCAATGACAAAAGGTAAAGGATATGATGTTAAAGACAACGTTAAGTTTGCTATAAATTGTTTCTGGAGTAACACTGAGGGAGGAGGAAACCATACACATCGCGTTTCAGGATATACGCAAACAACGGGACAAAGTAAAGAATACATGCCACCTTACATGACAGTTTACGCATGGTATAGAATTGCTTAGTCGTCATTTTCAACTTCTTTAGCATATTCGTCAGGAGTTGTCTTATATTTGTTAGGAACTGTCTTTGAAAGTATATACCACCTTGAACTTTGACAAGTTTGAAACGAGGTCTGACAATAGTAGTTTTATCTTCTGCTTGCAGTGTGTACATTTTGCCATGTTTGCCTAAAACTTCATAATATTCTCTTGTATACTTTCTTCTATTTTTACGAACACGAATGTGAGTACCTGTCGGGTTCCCATTGTTGTCATAGTCAATAGTATTTTCATATGGGTCGCGTTTAGGTATTTCTATTTTTACTTTGTCACCTTTCTGAAGTTTGAAAGCCCGGCATTCTTTCTTGTTTGTCTCTTTTGACTAAATTATTAAATATATAGTCTTTCTCTAAGTCAGGGTTGTTTTTCATTTCTTCGGGGGAGTGGTTTCCCAAACCTTTTTGTTTACGGTTATTGTAAATATTTAAAACTTGTCTCATCTTTGCCATGGAGAAGTGTCTATATTTGTCGTCATATGACATTTCATTTGCTTCACCACCTTGTGGTTGGTTTAAGTCTCTTAACATTTTTATACAACCGTCAATGACACCAAGAGCAGAATGGTTTTGGTCGACAATGAAATATTGGTTTACATTTTTTGAACGCAGATAGTTTTTTACATCATCTGATTTGAAAGAACTTTCACAGTCAGATGTCAGTTTTGTTGG